AAAAATGAGTCAATGTGTCATTCTTCTTTTTTTAACAAGTCAGGAAGAAGCTGCCATGGTTCTTGTCTTATTAAACAGACATATTATGAGCAGTGTCCTTATGCGTGCCTTGTTAATTCCCAATATATTGTGAAAGAAGGTTTCTTGGGTTAATTAGCCGCAATATTCTATTATGCTTGAACAAGGAAACTATTGACTAGCATAAAGTGGATCTTAAAACAATTTCAAACCATGGTCTAAGATCCCAGCTTGTTTTGATTCTGATAACCATACTTTCCTAAAAACTGTAATTAATTAATCTGGAAAGTCACGATGAAACAAGAAGGGTGGAAGAAACAGGCACTACAGAAAAACAGGCCCAAGGCTCAAACATTTCTCAGCTTAATTAGGTCAGATAATTATATCAGTATCACTGCAAATTTATTGTGAAGGCAACATCTAGATTTAAAGCATTGCTACCCTCATTTTTCCTAACCCTATTAAATAAATATAGATTTGAATTATTTGCATAATTTGGGTCTGATATAAAGGATTACTCTTGACTCTGTATTAATAAACAGCAGCCATTTCACCAGCAGCATATCAGTATATGTGGAATATATGCTTTCCTTAATTTGTGTTGACAGTTCATGTAATAGAACCTCTCCAACCAGCCTCATATGGATGAGGGTCTTGCCTGTTCCCATCTGGCTGTCAGTAGAAATTTGGATACAATTAATACAAAACAAATTATTTTCAGATTTATGGACTATTTTCATCCAGATTCTTTTTTTAAAAAAACCTTAGACATATCCATAAAATATTATGAGTAAAGAGGTCCTGGTGAACAAAGAGTTACACACACATAATGTCATGGCACCATTATAATGTCTCCATAATATATTATTTGTTTGGCTCATTTACTAGAAAAGTACAAAACAAACTATCATGCTTTAAAGTGACTTTTTCATACTGGTGCACATGCTGACCGAAGGAGTCTGAGGATTGTAATACAAAAAGTAATCTTTCCACACTCTGGATGTGTTTTAAATAATTTATGTTCATGTGTGAGAGAGAGAGAGAGAGAGAAAGAGAGAGAGATGGGTAGGGAGGGAGGCAGAAATTAATTTCATTTGATAATCTCAATAAACAAATGTTGAAGTTTGTCATGTTATCATTCTAGAATGGATTAATGAACTATTAGTCAGCCCTACTTGCTGTGTCTCTGCCAATGTATTCACTGCCTTTCCTCCTTCCTCTAATGGGCTGGCATCCCATCTGGTAGCTCTGGCCAGATAGATCAATAGGCACGAATGGTGTTGATCAATTTTTAAAGGGGATAACACTTCTTTTCCTTGCTTCAATAAACAGCTTCATGCATAATATTTGCATTTGCTGCCAAGGCTCTAAAAGATCCATTGAGAATACACTAATCAATTTTCACTTCTAATTAAATTGATGCTTGCAGCATATGGGAAGAAATACGCTTGGAAGACAACACAATGTATGAGAACCCCTGGAAACAGAAGTACAGAGGAAGGAAGATTTAGGAGGTATTGTCAAAAGAGGATAATATATTCAGATCAACTGACTTGACTACACACCTTCATTCATTTTCTCTCTACATGCACCCAACACATGCTTACTTACTAGTAGAGATAGGAGAAAGATGCTCTTGCATCACATTTTAATTCAGACTCACTTAAATTCTCACTTTATGAACCAACACACACACTGAAATAGTTATCCTTCAGTGTTCTCAGTTTTACAGACTTTGTGGTATTTTCTCTTATTTTAAAATGCCTATATTAGAGGAAAGTGTGCATAATGAACAAAAATGCATCCTATGAAGGGGAACTGATTTTTAAAATGTGCCTATTAGGGAAGGCTGCATAAAAATGTGTATATTATATTAATATTTGCCCGTGTTTTAAATTATAGAAACTGATAAAGAATTAGGGTGAAACAAAGTTAAGACTGGAAAAACGAGGGAATGAAGGAAACCAAAAATGATAGATTGGTTCATCTGTACTTGTTGAAACTATAAAATATTAGATGGAAGGTGATGATTTGTTGTAGATGAACAAAAACAGAGTTAAAGAAAAAAGAATAATATATAAGATTCTTGATTACCAAACTTCAGGAGTAACTTGTAATAACACAAAAGGCTATGAGAAATATATTTTGAAAATAGACAATATCTTGTATATTGAAAATACACAAAAGTATAAAAATATAGAAAGCCAGTGTGGTGTAGTGGTTTGAGTATTGAACTGGGAGACCAGGGTTTGAATTCCCTCACATTCATGGAAACCCAATGGGTGATCTTGGGCAAGTCACACTCTGTCAAGCCTCAGAAGGAAAATGAAGGCAAATCCCCTCTGAATAAATCCTGCCTTAAGTTCGCCATAAATCAAACATTTTTCATTTTGTTTAGACTCCACTTTTCTGCCACAAAGGCTCTTAGAGCTGCTTACAAATTGTTAATTAGGTAATTCAAGGCACACTACAATAACATACAAAATATACAAAGTACAGCAAAATGACATTATGGATAGTAAGAAATAATGTTGTGGATAATAATACAAAGAATTTCAAAATTATCAGCATGAAAATCAAATTAACACTCTTAGCCGCCAAGACAATTTTATCTAACTCTCTCTTTCTAATATTTTTTTGCAGCTAAAACAGAAAAAGACACTTTAAGCACACTGGAGGCTTGCCAAACAGAAGTTTGAATATAGGTAGGGATTCTATGAGAGGTAGCGTGTTATAGTTGTTTGAGTGTTGGACTGTGACTCCAGAGACCAGGGTTCAATTCCCAGTTTGACCATGAAACCCACTGGGTGACCTTGGGCTCTCTTGCCATGTTCTCAGCCTCAGGGGAAGGCAATGGCAAACCTTTTCTGATCAAATCTTGCCAAGAAAACCTGATGAAAGGTTCTCCTTAGGGTTGCAATTAGTTGGAAATGACTTGAAGGCACACAACAACAACAGCAAAACATAAAGGACCCAAAGTGGGTGTTCCTCTCCATGTACCATGTTTGTCGATGATGAGACCGTAGGGCTGCCACTTCACTGCCTTACCAGAGGAGCCCTGGTGGTGCAGTAGTTAAATGCCAGTACTGCACCGACAAAGTTGTACGTTCAATCCTGGAGGACTTTGAGGTCAATTCAGCCTTTCTTCCTTTCACAGGTTGATAAAATTAGTACACAGCTTGTTGGGAGCAATTGGCTTACACACTGTAAACCACTTAGGGAGTGCTAGTTCACTGATAAGTGGTATAGAAATCTACTTGCTATTGCTATTACCACATTCCCAAACAAATAACAGAAAGAGAGCTAGGCTCCCTTTGATCCACTGGCATCTTCCTTCTCCAATCTGCCCTGCCCAGATCACCCGTTTCTTTTCATTGTCAAACACCTATCTGATTTCCAATGTTTGACTGTTATACGCCTTGACTTAAAAAAAATATGTCTGGACCTGAGGTTTGAGCAGTAGTTTCTCACAAACCCATGAAAGACAAACCTAAACCACTTGCTCCTCTACCCACTTGGAGAAACAAACAACAAGCTGTCTGATGGTGGGAAGATTGTAGCTTAGGTGATCATTACCTCTCACAGAGAGATAATTTTCTTGGAGTTCTGGACCTCTGCCTCTGGACAGGTTTGGAGACACAGGACGTTTTCACA